GAAAGCTAATATTCTTAAGAACAACATGATCTAAAGAACATATATTTGGGTATTTAATAATGCTAGAATGATTGGTTTTCATTTCTTATTTCTATGCAGTGGCATACACCCTTCTAGTACCTTCAGCCTGAAAAATATTGAATTAAGCAGATTCATACATTGAAGTCCAGTAATTTTTAAACATAAAGTTCCATTTGAAGTATTGATTAGCAGCAGCATTAATTGAAGACAGAAGGGAAAACAATCACCAGGGGAATTTAGTATTGAGGTACAGGGTCACAGCAGGGGAGTCACAGAGAGAAGGAAAGTGAATCCTAGCCAGAAGCAGCTGGGTTGAGAAGCCTCAATATCAGCTGAAAACTTAATCTTATTTGAACAATTCACAATTCTTCTTGCTCATCCCATTTCACCACTCAGTAACACTTTATATTCCACAATGAGAAACATTCCTTTCTACAAAGAGACAAATTCATTTCCAAGTCCATCTAGAAATCATGAGCAAAGCATTTCATATTTTAAATAAATAAATAAATAAAATACCACAATTCCTTCCCTTCATTTCTCAGCCCTTTCCCTCCTCTTCCTCTTTGTTTCCTCCTAAAACAAAATCCTTCACTCTTCTCTGAATTTAAATGAAGATTTCTCAGTAACAATAATGTCCAGTTTTCTTCTAGTCCTAAATCTTAGCTGTCAAATGCCTACCAGGAGATAGAAATCTAAAAGCTAATAGTACAACCAAAATGTTGGCCCTCTGTATGTAAATATTACATTCTGCGATAAACTTAAGAGGAAATATTGAGAGGAGCAAATGAAAGTGACAAGTCAACTTCTCTGGAAGTTCTAAGCAGCAGAAACTTTCTTGTGAAGGAATCAGGAAGCTGCTTAAAAAGATTATTTTTTTTTTTGGTTGAACATAAGTTTTCTTGTAAAATTCAATGCCAGAATGTGAAAACAGGTTTAAGCTGATATGGGCATCATCCTTCTGATTTTAGAAAGCTGTGGTTCTGGTGTTACCGCTGATATTGCGGTTTTGCCAAACAATAGCAGATCGGAAATTTTTATGATTTCTATAATTTTCATAGATTCCTGCAAAAATGGTAAAGCAAGACACTGTTAGATGTTACCCTTGACAAGCTGCCCCTCAGGCAGCATGGATAGTCTGGGTCATCATGTGCAACTATTCCCTGAGGATAAAAAATTGGTATAGACATGGAGTAACAGAAATGACTCATCAATACTCAAAAATGCATGGGAGAAGAGTAGAGTGGTGATGACACCCATCTCCTCATAGAACTCACTAGTGAAGAGGTCAGAGGCGTAAGGACAGGGAACTGCAGCCTTGAAAAACAACCTATTTTTATTATTTTCAAGCATAGCTATCTTATGTAGAGGTTAGTGAGGAAGGCTGCATTCTGCCTACATGGTTGGAGACTTCCAGCTTCCTCCACTATAAGGGTTACATGACTCATATGGCTTTTTGCAACAGCATCGGACAGATAGTGCTGGGGTTCTTCTTGATATTTAAGTGTAGCTTCTGCCTGGTTAACTCCATTGTTGTGGAAATAGTAGCTATATCCAAGAAAGAAAGTGATGTGGATTACTACAGTAAACATTATCAGACCTGGTCTGATCTGCAAATTAAAACAGGTAATGGAACTATTTTACACAGTTTGCTTCTAATTCTGACACAGATGGCACTTAAACAAGGATTCCAGCCTTGGCAGATTTCTTCAAAGTCAGTGCCAAGGCCAGGATAATCCTTTCTAGCAATTTTCTCCTTGATTTTTGAGCAACCAACTTCTGTATAAAATAGAATTTGTTATCTGCTGTTCCCCTTCTACAGCCATGCATTGAACAAGCTTTGACAGGACACAAGACAGACCTTCAAATACTGAGCCAAGTGACACCAAAAGAGTCATGAATCCCTACTAGGTACAAAGCTCATTTCTTAACCCTTATCTTCAGGTGGGTGTATCACAAGGAAAAGAAAAATTAGTGATCCAATGAAAAAGAGAAACAAAAAGGAAAAGTAAAAACACCTTCCTTGAGGTACTTCTGACTCTCCAGCTCTTAAATTATGCCAAGTGTGGGATAATGTACAATGACTGTTTTTTAAAGCCAGCATTAATGAACAATGGTTGCTTTTTAAAGCTAGCATTCACTACAAAGAGGAAGATGAGCCAAACCCAGAAAACAGACCAAAAATAGTGCACATGGACATGTGTGTACGTTTCCTTACACAAAATCACTTTTCAGAAAGTTCTTTAGCCACAGCATTAGGCAAATAACCAATAGAGCCAACTCTGAAGAGAATGAAGACAAGCTTGCATTGGCCACTATGTTCTCTTCTCACACAAATCATAATGTTATCAGCACAGACAGGTTATAGGAGAAAGAGACACACCAGAAATCTCATATCCTTAAAATGGATATTTTGTTAATTTATTGTAATGCAGATGATGAAAGGTCTTCAAAGGTGACAAGAGCTCATTAACATGGGCTTTCATACAAGACAGGAAATAAAGACACATGTTAAAAAAAAAAATTGCATTTCTGGATCTAGACAAGCACTCCCATTGAGATAGTCAAGAGCTTGCATGTAGATCGAGTTTAGCATATAGTGCAAAGACTTTGTAGTCAAATTATGAATTTTACCTATTATTTGCCCTTATAAACACCAGGAAAAAAAAAACACTTGAGTTTTGTTGGTTTTGTGTTTACATGTGTTTGGGTTTTTTTAGTTTGCTCTTATAAGAGCATCTATTTAAAAAAAAAAAAAAAAAAAAAAAAAGAAATGAGACAGAAGATAAAAGAACGGTATCCCAGTAAGGATCTATTGACAACTGATTGTTTATCCCAGGTAAAAACAAAAACCACATACTTGAGCAAGAAACTGTCTCCCAAGAGTTCAGAGAATTGTTCTTTCAAAATCATTATTTTTAACACTACTTCAGTTCCACAAGTTAAGTGCACATGGGAGATGCCTAGTTTTACTAGTTTTCTAAAATAATTCATTCAGAAGGAATACTACTTTTACTAATATTGGAGTCCTACACACTGAAATTTCAGATCAAACGTCTGACAGATCTAAATGTTGCCAACAGACATGCAGTCATTCATCACGGCTCTGCACTTTGGCTTTCTGAGGACTGTACTTTGGAATTCCTGTAGACTGAATAGCTGGCACAGAGAATTCAACATATAAGTAACACTATTTTCAGTGCTCCTTCAAAGAAAACCAGTACATATTTTTCCAGACCTGAGAAAACTTACAATCTTTTTATGTCATCTAAACAAAGAAGAAAAAAAGTTGTCATGCATATTTTGGATATTAAAAAAAAAAAAAAGTATCTTGCTACATACTGCCATTCAAATACCTCCAAGTTGTGCTTTCCTCACCAGCAACTGACAAGGGGGGATGTACTTTGAACAGGAAAGATGCTGCACACTACATAAAAATTGTGAGAACTAAACATCAACAGGACAGAGGAAAAGAACCAGCTACCACAGCAGGCAATTAAAAGCAAAAAAAAAAAAAAAAAATCAAAACCAACCTACCAATCCAATTATCCATCAGAGACTGCAGTTACTGCGGCTTTTACATGACTTGCAGCCTTTCTGATCAAGGGCCGTCACAGGACACCTAAGCAGTAAGAATTTCACATTTCAAACTTGGAATACTTATCAGCAATTTGCAGTTTTCAAGAAGACTAGGGATACTTATTCCACATTTCTCCATTTTAAAAAACTGACACACAGTGAAGACATTTGGGGTAAGGGTTTTTTGTTAAATTGTCCTGTTCTTATAAGTAAACTAACCTTGATAACCTATCTCCATTTGCAGCAGGAAGCAGAATGACTTTGTTAAAGATCCCCCCTGCCCTTAACTCATCACCTGAATTTACACATACAATTTCTCCTCTAAGCTTATAGTATAATGATGGAGATCTAGAAGGTTAGAAAAAAAATTAATCTCATCGGTCTTATTAGAACAGTCTGTGCATTTTCACCACTGAATGAGGGGGAAAATCCCACCCACACTAGTGCCCCTAGTGTGCTTTCGCAGTTGGCAGTCTGAAGAGTAAGTAGCAAATCACTACCCTGTCTTTCTGTGTGAGGCTACATTTTGGGGTTTTTATTCCACAGCAGAAGGCATAACCCTTTAAGGAAACTGCAGGGAAACTAGGCAACCTTTCAATCCATTTATCAAATTTCCTGCTGTTTCTATTTCTGAACAAGCTTAAAAAATTATTTTGTACAAAGAAAATTAATCTATATCCAGAAGATATCATTAAATAAAATGTGCTGACCTGTTGGCAATTGCCAGGTCTGGTGTTAACATAGTACTTTGTTTAGCCTGCTGCCCTTCTGTTCCTTTCAGCACTGATATTGTGTAAAAAACCCCTAATAATGTTTAAAAGACATTTGATTTGTTGTCATTTTCATCCTGGCATCCATACCTTCCAGAAGTCATAAACAACAGTCAGTGCTGTGAAAATGTTTCCTGTAGTCATGTTAAGAGTCCTATAAAAAACACGTATAATACATACAGAAAAATGTAAGACCTTATAACAACTGTTCAGATGCCTCCATTGGCTAATTTTCAGTTTTAAAAAAACGCACGTTGGAAAAAAAGTAGGCTTAATTTGCTGTTTAGCAGTACCCCAGTTCTAAGTTGAACAAAGCAGAAGACACTGTACTTAGGTGAAAACGCAAATAAATATCGCTTATCTGATGCTCTGCAAAGAACAAAATTCGCTTACTTTCTAAAACTAAAACTGGGCACAGCAGAAAAGCTAGGAATCTCTCCAAAAAGTGTTACATAAGGCATTGTCAAACTTCACGTCACCTCCACAGGGCCGCAAGTTGCTATTTTCCCCCCATCCCCCGGTGCGCAGGGATTAATGATCTAAATGACACAGTTCTTGTACAGGAGGTGATAGCAGAAGCCTTCCCAAAGGGGAGCTTCCTGGGCAGAAGGCTTTCTGGGGAGGCTGGCGGGGGATGGGGAAGCCACCCTGCTCGCCTCGGCGTCCCAGCCAAACTCCAGCTCTGCCCCGCGGGTCCCGTTCCGCCGGGCCGGCTCCCGGAGCAGGCTCGCCGCGGGCAGAGCGCTCACACCCCACGTCGCGACTCCCTTCCACCCGCCCGGCAGCGGACACCAGCCCCGGGCTCTCCCGGACACCGGAGCGCAGCCCGCCGTCCTTGCCCGGCCCCGCTGCCCCACGGCTGGAGCCCCCACGGAGCGGGAGCACATCCCGGCCGAGGAGAGCGGCGTGCGGCGCGGGGCCAGCGAGCGGACTGGCGACGGGAGCGGGGTCCGAGCCGGGCGGGGTAACCTCCCTCGGCAGGGGGACGTGCCCCTTTGTGCCGGGAAGCGACACGCGCGCCTCCGCCCGAGCATCTCTTCAACTCCAGATCTGATGAGGATTAAAATCCAGGAGATAAAGCTGCCAGCCTGGCCCTCTGGACTTGGGTGCCCTCTCCCCTTCACGGGCTGCTGGAAGGGAGACACTCATCGATTGTTCCTTGCCCTCCCCCGCCCCTCGCCTCTAAAAGCAGCACAAGCTCAACGAGAAGGCTCTTACCTTCCCCGGGTGGCTCCCGGGCCGCCGGGACGGGCGCTCAGCGCCCGCTGCTCCGCGCAGGCAAGCGGTCCTTCCCCCTCCTCCGCTCCAGGCGGGCAGCTCCAGCTCCGTGCCCGCAACCCCGCGCTCCGGAGGTGTCAGCCAGCGGACCACAGCCGGGCCGGCACTGGCGGCTCCACTCTCCGCGGGACGAGGAGCTGCTGACGGTGGGAGGAGGAGGAGGGCGGTGGGGAGGTCCCGACTCTTCCCGGGATGCGCCGCCGAGGTGGCCGCCTCCTCCGCCGCCCAGCTCAGCTCTCTCCGGGGCCTGCCCGCTCCGCGCTGTCCCGAGGTGCAGCCCGGCCCCGTCCGCCTGTCCGTCCCGCTCGCCTTCCCCCGCCCCTTTCGCCGGCGGCGAACCGCGCGGCGCACAGGCCCCGCCGGCGGCCAGGAGGACCCGTGGGCGACGGGGGATTCCGGCCCAGCCTCCTGTCCTCTCCCCGGGGCCTGGTGCACACTCTCCGCGGGGAAAGGAGGCCCTGCCCCGGCCTGGCGAGCAGCTCCGGGAAGGTCACCGGCACCGTGGAGCCGAGCACGGAGGCTCCCTCCGGCACCGCCGCGGTCGTTGCTACTGCTGCCGGCCCGACATCAGCGACCGCTGGGTGCCGCGCTCCGCCCGGGCTCGCTCCGTGCCCGTGCCTGGCGGCCGCCTCCGACTCTGAGTGCCAGGCTGCCCCCTTCCCCTTCCTTCCTTCCTTGCCTCCCGCCCCTTCCCCGCTGCCAGCCTTCCCCCGCCGGCTCCCTCCGGCGCCCGGTGCCAGGCTGCCCCCTGCGGGTCCCGGGGCCGCGGCTACACGCCCGGCGGGGCCGAGGAGGAGCCGGGCGCGGGGGCGGCCGCCGCTGCCGGTCCGCGAGTGCCGGGAGCCGTGTGCCCGCTGCCGCCGCGCTGCCCCGGGCTGGCTCAGCGGCGGCTGCAGCGACTGTGTGTCTGTGTCATGTCTGTGCCTGGGCGGGCGGAGGCGCGGGGCCGAGGCGGGGCCATCCCGCTCACACGCCGCCCAGCGACAGGCGCAGAGCGCCCAACCAGCGGCGGCCGCCGGCGCGCACCGCCCGCCCGCACCGCGGGGCGCCCCGGGCCGCTACACCTGGGTAGGGCGGAGGGGACCGCGACGGGCTGCCCGCACCCCGGCGCTCTCACAGCCGTCCCGCCGGGGGGGCTGCGGGGGCACAGCCGGCCCCGCACGGGGGCCGCGCCCCGCACCCGGCGCTCCCCGCCCGCCCAGCGGTCCCGAGCACCGGCCTGGCGCGGGGAAGTGCGGGGCGGCCCGGCCCGGCCCCCGCCTCGGGCGCTGGTGCCCGTCGGGGGGGCGAGGCGGCGCCTGGCCTTCAGCGTGAGCGCCCGGAGGGGGAAGACCCGACTCCGACCGGCGAAACCGCGTCAGGAATGAATAAATATCACGGCTTTTGGCTTAAGTGTGGTGGAGCGTGTCCCTGCGATGTGTCCCTGCGTGCTGGCAGCTGCTGAGAGTGAAGTGATAAGCGCACCTTATTTTTGCTTTTCTTTTTTATATTTTTTTTTATTTTGTTTTTATGTTGAGCAACCATCAACGCGCGCTTTTTTTCCCCGTTATTGTTATTAATCATTTTTCTTTCACTTCATTAGCGGTGTAAAAATGGATTGTTGCAATATGTTAGCATACTAAGAGGACCGTATGATAACCTGTGCGTATGTTTGGAGAGGATGCATGAAATTCCGAGAGGAGTGTGCAAGGAGAACAGAAATGAGCAAATGTGCGTACAATCTGACTCTAGAAATGCACTGATCCGTTCTTAGAATGGAAGAGGAAGCAAAGTATACACGTGCTTTGAGTAACAATGTAAATAATCAGAAGTATGAATAATAGGGTTAGTAATCAGTATTTACTGTTTTCTTCTTCTAGGGGACTAAGGGAATAGCTTAAGAGAAAAGTGTTGTTCTTTAGAAGATACCACAGATGCTAATTTCTCCCATTACATCAACTGCTTAAATGCTATAAGTCATGCAGAAGTTGCTTTTTTGTGGGCAGAAATTATGCTTTTCAATATACTGTATGAAAATGTTGTGAACTGTTGAACAGGTTGTTCAAAGCATGGTAGTATTTGCTAGACTTGATTAAAGTGTTGGACCATCAAGCTTAGTATTCTGCTGCCAGCAGCATCCACTTCCTGATGCTTTAATCAAGAGTGGTATCGGATGAACTGAAGTAAATCACAAAGTTGAACATGCCAGTGATGTAATGTAAGTGTTACTAACTGCAAATTTTGACATATTGTGACAACTAGGAGAGCATTTTGCAGAAAAAAAATAACTCTGCTTATCTGTAAAAATAATTTAGTTCTGATATGAAGAATTTTCTGGAGAAGCTGCAGTAACATACAGATTGGTCTCTATTGTGCTTGTTTTTTTCATGAGCAAATCAAAGTCAGAAATGAGCTATACTAAACTAACTAATTTTCTCCTTTCTCCTAAGTGAAGCTATAGGATCAGCCTTCAAGTAATAATGTTTTCTTGCACTGTTGAAGGATTGCAACTGCTTTGGTGACAGTCACAATGAAGAAATTGCTGGGGAAGTATGGAGGAGGAAATAGGATTGTGTGTATATAGCTTCATTATTAATAAAACTCGATTATCTACTGCCTGTTATTGGAATTCTCTGCAGTTCCACATTCTTTAGTTTCATGCTATATCTTGAAAACTAATAAGTTGTCAAAGTCTGATCCTACAAAATATTGAACAATTTCTTCAGGTTCTTAATGTTCTTATCTTCTGTTCGAGCAGGGAACTCTCAGCACCCACAAAAAGTCTTAGGTTTTAAGAGCAGCATGGATTATTAGGATTACCTAATGTGCCACCGTGCATGACAAATGATGGAACTTCACGTGGAAATAAAATGTCTTGCTTAAAATTGCTCTGCATCCTTCAGGTTGGGGACCTGCTCAGAAATGGACAACAGTTGTCCAAACCCAGAGAATGTTTGTCAGAGGCTCTAGCTGAGAATGGTTACCACGAGATTATAAAACCTAACAAGGACAGGAAGAGTGACTACCTCTGAAGATAGAGTTTCTCAGAAATTGTGTTTATAAGCAAGTAATCTTTTTCATATCCATAATAAAAATTGCTCTATCAGTCTTTCTCCTTGAAAATCCTGAAGTGGCGATTGCTTTGGACATAAACAAGCAATGCAGAAGGATACTTATGCCAAGGACAGGTAGAAGAAATTAGATGCAAATATTTGCACTTCAGATTTCATTCAGCTAGGAGGAAGGTTTCTCTAGAAACTACACAGGTTCTGGAGGGAGGTGTCTATTTGCATTTTAAAGAAAACAAAAAAGCAAAGCCTATAGAAATGTGAAGCATATAGAGGGTTCTTTTTGAAAAAAAGATCATTTCATAAGGTCAAAAAACTTAAAGTTTTAACAGTCCTATTTAAAAATTTTGTAAACCAGACCCTTCATTTTTTAATAGAAACATGTCAATATTGAGATATTGTTACATGATAGAGTTATACTGATGTAAAATTATCACATAAATATTTGGTCTCGTTTTTTCCTTACTGGAACAAGAGATAAAGGCATAACAGTACACAACTTCAAACAGGTTATGGTATTTTCACTACCCCAGAACATCAGTAAGTAAAATAGTATTAAGTCTGTTTACAAGATCCCAAACACTTGCAGATTTATGTGGGTTTTGTTGAAAAGAACAAAATTACTTCTAATACAACCATTTGATATGAAAGGGAGGTGTAAGGCCCACAAGGATTCAAACCTACTGCATGAAGTTAATCTGACGTTAAACACCAGTGACGTCCTTTTTATGTTCTTACAGTTGTTTCGTTTTTCTAGCTGAATTCAACCACCATGAGGTCTTTCAAGAAAAAAGGACAGTGCTTTGTTCAGGAGGTGACCAAAAAGTGCATTACTACTCTAATAGTGTGTTATGTGCCAGCTGAAATAGAAGCTAGAACATTCCTGAAAAACAGGGAAGTGGTCTCTCCCCGTTCCTGCACACACAGTCCTGTGGTTAATCAGCATTTTAAATACCTTGTGAGGTAGATGCTGCCGTGTCACACTCAAGATACACATGGGATACACATGGACAAAGCTAAGTTCTCCATTGCCTTCTTTCATGTGGAGTTGATGAAATAGCTACTTTTCATAAAATCAACCATTCAGGGTGTTCTCACGGCGAACAGAAATTCAAATCTGATTTAGCAGACTGGCTGGATTGTGTTAACTGATCCACAGAAGGTTGTGACTGTTTATGAATTGCTGCTCTTCTAGATGCTAAATTGCTCAACTGTTAATAGTATCAGAGCATAAAAAGCAAGACTAAAAGTCTGAAGCAAGCCCTAACCCTTGAGATTCTTGTTATCATCTGCCTTTACAATAAATACAGGACTACTGCAGAACAGGCTGCCTGACAGTAGAAAAAGGCTTTCAAACAAGAAATAAGTAAAATTTAGTCTACTCTGGAAAAATAAATTCCCAGTTCTTGAGCACAGAGTGGAAGCTCTGTTACATATGCTGTCCACAATGGGCAGTAAATTAAAATTTAATGGAGATTTTCCTGTGCATGTATCAGAAAAAAGAAAAATCAACAAAACCCAAGAAAGTCAGAGCAAGATTCAGATTCCGTGGGGTTATAGGAACTGGAAACAAAATAAACTGGTAAACTGAGTGCCTTTAAATAAGTAGAAAACATCATGAAAACCTAAAACTTTACAAATGCAAAGGAAATATAGTTTTTATTACAGAAATTATTTCTCTTCTATACCAAAATAGATTTCAGGCAATAGACTGATTTCCTATGTTGACTTTTTTCATTTTCATATTGGTTTCTCCCAGAGTTCAGTTTACTTCTAGCTGTAAAAAGGTAAACATCCATACTAAAGTCTTAGGTAGTATTATGCCCTATAACAAGGAAAATGTTAACGAAAGGGGTATTTTCCTGTTTGTTTACTTTGTATCTCTGACAGAACTCTGTGGATTTTTTTTCATTGCTGTTATTTACTACTTTCCATTTGTTGTGATTCAGTCATTTAGAGAATAGTTGGGGGGGGTTGTTTGTTTATTTGGACAATAAAAACTAGTGAAGATATGCAGAATAAATATGATGCAACTTTATTTTATGAAGTTAATCTGATTTCAGGTTGATAGTACTTTTTTAAGTTTGGGCCTACCATGGTCAAGTCAATATTGTATTTCTACTTATAGACAAAATTAATTTCTATTTTGCTAGCGTGACATATATAACTTAGAAAAGACCTAATTTCATACTTGATAATATCAATGCCAGTGTTTCCAGAGCTCTTCACAATGCATACCTGCATCCTAAAAAAAAAAGTGGTGAATGCTGTTTTGGTTTGTTTGTTTGTTTGTTTGTTTTTTGAACAAAGGAATCTTCACACCTGTGGTGTTTGCAGTGAAATTCTGGATAATTAACAGTGGCATAACTATTCTGTGTTAACATGAACCATTCCCTTTACAAAATCTTCTGGGAAAGAAATACAGCATTGGACAAACTTTAAAACAATTTTAAACTTCACTGGCAAGGAAGGTGAAAGTGACGCAGGTGCTCCTAAGCCTAAATCAAGGCAAGTCGAAGTCAGTGGAGCAGCTGCACTGATTTCAGTGGTATCCAAGCTGAACTATCCTTTATGTCCCAGTCAGTGTTCTGGGAAAACAAATATGCACATTTATATACCCAGACTTTTATGATCTTCTTTCTTAATAATTGTTCCTGTTTGACTGCTCTGCCTCTCTCCCAAGCAAACAGTGGATTTAGTGTCTCTCTCTTGTTACAATGTTTCTTTTGTTACACTTCTCCATTTATTGCCCTCCAGTATGAATGCTGAGACTACGAAAAATCTTAAATGAATTGTAGACCTGTATAATTAATATCTGCCAGCCTTTCAGGAAGTATTAAAGCACAGAATGTATTACTGCTCCAGTCTTAGCCTTACACATTTAGATTTTAATTCATCCAAGGACACCTTTCACTATCTGGTGAAAAAGTGGATACTCTACCTGTTCAAAACAAGACCTTTTTTTTCCATTAGAAGCACCTGTTTTATACATGGAAGGTTTAATTGTTTCCAGAACAGCTTCATTAACTCCTGAAAGTATTACCAATACAGCACTCCCCAGAGCCAGGATGCTAATTAGAAAGAAAACTGGCCTTACAGTAGTTTGAAGAATGGTGTCTTTTTTTAAGAGAGCAGGAAGGATTATTCAATCACTGACAGAGTGTTTGTGCCAGAAAGTGGGAATGACTGCCAGTTATATGAACTCAGAAAATACCTGTGGCAAATGAATTATTCCCACACTGAAACAGCCTCTTCAGACAATCAACAACAGTAAGCCTAATAATGATTCCATAAACAATGTTAAGATGTCCAGCAAGTTCCATGCAGTACAAGCAATGTCCTTTATGACCAGTATTGTTTGTCAGCTCTAATGTCCCTGACTCGGTGGGTTAGGCATGTTTGGAGGGTGCCATATGAATGCTTGGATTGCTTCCTTAGGTACCCAGATTGTCAGTAGTAACACATCTGGCCTTTGTCACATTTATGCTGATTTTATATTAAAGGTCTTGTAAGTCTGAATAAAAAAAAAAAAAACAACCAATACAGGACTAAAGAGTAAGTGTAAATATAAAATGTAAACAAAAATAAAATGGATAGATGCTATTACAAGTTAATGCATGATATCAACACTTGAAGTTTCATATCAATGGTCAGGCCTTTAGAATCTGTATAAAAAAGTTCCTGGATTAAAAATAGGTACCATGGCAAAGGAAATTACCCCAAACTTATTTATGAGAATCACTACCTAATGAGTCAAAGAGGAAAATTTTTGGCCAGAAATAAAAGACAATAATTATCGTTCAAATCCTAGAACTTCTGTATTTTTTCCAATGAGGGCTATTTTTAAAATATTTTCTAGGAGGGTTTCTCTAGAAAGCAGAAATGCATTATAGCTGCTACTGTCAAATGAAGGGAGGGTAAAATAAACCCCAGATCCTGTCTAATGACTCAAGCTTATTTGCTTTAGGCCATTGCAACAGTAAGAATGCCCATTATGAATCTTTTCTGACAGTTGAACAAAATTGACATGTCCATGTCAGACAAAAGCTCAATGGAAATATATGTACATGCTTCTGAATATAAACAGGGAGCAGAGTCTAAACAGCTAAGCATATAAACATGAACTCATTTAGTGGCCGTAAGTGGCTGTATATCTTAAAGTGTACTGTGAATAAACTAAAATGTTCTTTTACTGGGATGAGATGTGACCGTGAGCAGCATCCAGCTCTCTGTCCAAGACTGTCAATGCTAAAGAAAGTTTCTGTGTTCTTGCTGACATATCAGAAGTTGTGAGCTATGATCTGGACTTGCTGCACTGGCAAAAGAATAGGAAAGGTCACCCCATCTCAGCAGTGAAACTGTCAGTAACAAAAGGATAATCCTCCTCAGTCTCAACAGCAGTTACAGGGAAGTTGATGCTAAGGTCAAGCAACAAGGCAAGACCAATACTAGTGCCAATGAACCTGTCAACATTAAACACCTCTTCTTCAGAGTAGTATTTTAACACTTCACTATTCTGTGATTCAGACTGTATCCTGACATGGTGGGGGGTTTTCCATTTATTTAGGTGAAACTAAAGCTGTCAGACACACTCGAGGCCAAGCAGACAAAGCCAGGAAAAGGACAGACCTTCAAAGTCTGAAGGTGACATTGAAGGAATCCAGCATCAGACACAAAAAATGCCCAACAAATTCAATAGATATTTTACACGCTGTGTGTGTACTTGTATTTCAGACCTTGGCAGCCACACAGGTGCTAGCATTGCTACTTTCTCTAAAATTACAGTCTATATCAGATTGTGTACTGAGGAAAGGAATAAGCTTTTGCTACCATGGATGGTGTAAGAATTCACAGTTCCTGCATCACCCAAAAGAAATGACCCAATTATAATGAAATCAGCTTGTGTTTAAGTCGATTAAAGCAAGAGTTTCATCTACAGAGAGGGAAAATAATTTTAAACACTTCTCTAACCAACACACAAGATCTCAGTGCTGGAATAAGAAATTATACTGGCCCTTTGCCCATTTTGAAAACATTTCCAAGTGTTTTACTTCA